TTCCTGTCGATCAAACGGTTACCTCGGCTGACCGCGCCTTTCCGGGCGCCGGTCACTCAGCTTGTTTGGCTTCCACCATCCCCTGATCAAGAAGCTCGGTCCAACCGAGCACTGCCTTGCCGAGCAGCTTCTTTACGGTCTAGGGCGGCACACACTTGGCCCAATTTCTGCCCGGCCCAAGTTCTGGCAGCCCATCTCCGGGCGGATAGTCGATCATCTCGGCCCCATGCACCATTGGGCTCTCAACCTGCTCGGCCGTTACCTCAGCCCAATTCCAAATCATAAATCCCCCTCTCAGTAATCAAACATTTTCTCTATTTTCCTTTATTTCTTTTATATTCTAGTTGTTGTTAAGTACATAACAAAATTAATTAATTTAATTACAGTGAAGATTGTTCCCACATTATTGCCACAACAACTTATTAAGCTGCACTTAGTCCTCAGGCAGTGTGTGGCAGGACGACTCTGGCCAGTTCAGTAACAAAGGCTGTGCTTCATACCCAAGCACTTCACTGGCTAAGCCCAGGGAGGACCGGGCTAGGCGGCATCTCGGCAAAGCTGAGCCCGGGGCACCCCTGTGGTCGGCCTTCCTGCCGATCAAACGGTTACCACGGCTGACCGCGCCTTTCCAGGCGTCGGTCACTCAGCTTATCTGGCTTCCACCATCCCCTAATTAAGCAGCTCGGTCCAACCGAGCACTGCCTTGCCGAGCAGCTTCTTTACGGTCTGGGGCGGCACACACTTGGCCCAATTTCTGCCCGGCCCAAGTTCTGGTAGCCCATCTCCGGGCGGATAGTCGATCATCTCGGCCCCATGCACCATTGGGCTCTCAACCTGCTCGGCCGTTACCTCGGCCCAATTCCAGATCATAAATCCCCCTCTCAAATATATATTTTTATCCAATTTGATTATTTTTTGTATTAATTTATGAAATTGATTTTGAATAATGTCATACATTTGATTAATTTTTAGGTTTGTTGTCTGGATTTGGAATAAATAATTAATTTTTTGTTTGAAACTATAAGGAAAAAAAATGATTGTGCATAGGAATTGATGCTTTTTGTTTTTGTATTTTTAACCTGTCTATTCCTCTTGAACCGTTGGTTAGAGTTTGTCAAAACATGCAATCAATTTCACCAGCTTTGATAATAGATGAGTTGGTGATGAGGTATAGAGAATTTCAATCTGAGGGAGTTGGTTGATGATTTCCCACCCCCTAAAATCAACAAAACTGACATGTGGTTATGGGTTGGTTTAGGAAAGGGAAATTTTAGTGAAAATATTAGGCGAAAAAAATTTGAAGTGTTTGGAAATGATTTTTTAAATTTTTCATGAAAAATGTACAAAATTTAAAAAGAATGGGAAATAATTTTTGATTTTTTCTAATTTTTTATTTTTTGGCTAGAAGAGTCAATTATCCAAAAACCACCCTGTGTTGCAATCTTATCCTATGTTTGGATGCATAGTGTTGGATGACCTTCATGGTTTCTATATCATGTTGGCATATGATGTCCAATTTGATGCCTGACAACAATGTAATTTTGGCATAAAAAAGGGGGAATTACATGATGTAACTTTAGAAAAATAATTATGTGTCATTTTGGAAACATAGTAAAAAGTCACGTTTTTGGACAAAACGCAATCAAATTCCTTTGGGAAGTGCCAAAAACTCAACTCTAAAATTACAAATTAAGGCCTATGAAAAAAAAAAAAGAATCTCTTATGTTAAGTAAGGGTATTTTGGTCATTTTAATTTGATTTGACACCATAAATAAATATTAAAGTAAAAAGTAAAAAGCCAACTTTTTATCAACTTCCCAAATCACTTCCAAAAAAGCTAAAAAACTTGGTAAAAAGCCAAAAGCTAACTTTTTACCAACTTTTCAAAACAACCCTATATATATTTATGAGAAAGTTTACAAATTTTAATTATTAAAATTTTTAAAATTTATCGTGAATCTGTAATTATTTTTTTTTTAAAAGTATCACTAATTTATTAATTTTTCTTTAAAAAAAAGGACTTAAGCTTTGTTTGGGTTAAACTATATAATTGCATTTTTTTTTGCATAAGTGTATTTATTTGAGTCATATCAATCAATATTTCATCTCTATTTTTTTACACATCTTTTATAAAAGGTCAAAAAATATACTTATTTAGAATATCTCAAACAAATCCTTAATAGGTGCTTGCAATCTTATCCTTTGTTTGGTTGCATGGAATTCAGGCCTTGTAAGATCACCTTCTTGGTTTTCATATCATGTTGGCCTATGATGTAGAATTTGATGCCTGCATGCAATGTAGTTTTGGCATAAAAAAAAGGGGGATCAAATACATCGAAAGTAGTTCAATAGTTTTGAAAGTGAAAGCAAATGGATTAATAGTTAACGTGAAAGAAAGAAGAAAGAAAAGAAATGGGGTAATTGAAATGGCATTATTAAAAAGAGGAGAAATTTTGTTTTAAGATTCTTGATATTAAGATTTTATAAAATAAATGATATATAATATCTTTATAGTAGTTAAGGTCGCTTAATATTTTTATAAAGAAAATTTGATTCAGAAAAATTTTAGTATTGACACAGAGAAATTTTAATTTTCATAAAGAAATTTCTTTGATTTCACATTGAAATTTTTAAATTTTTCTAATATGGTCACAGAGAAATTTCATCGAGGGATTTTAATTAATAAAAAAAATATTTTAGACCTCTCTTACTACACAAAGTTAGAAAAAGATGTTTCACCAATTTTTTTTTTTTTTAAAATGAGCTCAAGAGAAAGGAACAACAAAAGTTATTCTAAGGATGTTTTGTATTTTGATGCAGGGTGATGATGGTGAAGTGTTTGGATTATAGATTTAGATAAAAATTTAGAGAAAAAAACAGAAATTGAAAACTAGTTAGCTTATGTTTTATGAGAAAATTGCAAATCAATAGTACATTCACAAAAATTTATAAATTTATGAAATTTTTTATAATTTTAATTATTAAAATTTACCATTAATTTAAAATTATTTTTAAAATATATATTGAATTACAAATTTTTCATATTTTATTCATATTTTACTCTCTTTCTCTTTTCTTTTCTTTTTATTTTTAATTTTTAATTATGTAATGGGCAATGGTAGTTAGATAAAATAATACTAACCAGCATTACAGCTGGAAAGAATTTGTGGCTCCTACCATTAGATTTCTTTAAAATAAATAAATAAATTAGTAGCCATATATTAATAAAAAAAATAATAGTCATTATTTTGCGCTGAAATTTGCATTTTATTTTGCTTATATTTTTATATTATATTATGTATATTAATTTTGACCCCTTTAATCTTATTAAAAAGAAAAATTGGTGCAATTATACTAAAACTATGATATTTATCTTATTAAAAAGAAAAATTGGTGTAATTATACTAAAACTATGATATTTATTATATTTTCTTCAAATTTTTTAAAGAATGTCCATGTAAGTTATCCTTAAAATTCAAACGGTAAATTAGACTGACCTATCTTGGGGCTTAAAAAACATACAAGAAATTTTATAATTTTGACATCATTATATTTTGTGATTTTAATTTTTACAACATTTAATTTTTTTCATCAATAATTTGTTAGTTATATGAATAATAAAAATAATATTATCATATTTTTTATACAAAAATATATATTCGACATTTTTATATTATTCATGATCCATATAAACTTACAAATATATATATATATATATATATAATTATGCTAAAATTATACGGATTGTATTTGTTTTTTCAAACCAAAATAGTATACAGTGTGTTTGGTTTGAGTTTTTTGAATTAAATTTTTTGAAAATTGAGTTTTTTAGTTTTCGTATTTTTTTTGTTTTTAGTGAATATTTTTAAAATTTAATTTTTTTTTTACTTTTTTAGATGCACCTTATATGTATCTAAAAAGTAAAAAATTTGTGAAAAAATATTTTAAAAAATTAATAAATACATAAAAATATAATGAATTTTAGTTTTTTTTTTTGTATTTTTGGTATTTAGTGAATTTTTAAAAAGTTTTTTTTTATAATTTTTTTACGTTTTAGATATATTTATGTTAAGTATGTTTAAAAAGTGAAAAAATTATTTAAAATATTAAAAAAATCAGTAAAAATAAAAAAATATGAAAAAGAAAAAAGTAGAATTTTTTGAAAAATATTTTTGAAAAAAATGAAACCAATCCAAATTTAAATCTTAACATAAATTTTATTAAAAACAAACGAAAAATTATTGATTAGTTTTAGAGGATTGATCACATCACTCATTAAGGACAAATGCCACAAGGCCTTCTGCAATAAAGCAGAAATGTAATGAATTTTACTGAATTCAATTGATAACAATTAAGTTAGGCCCGTTTGTTTAGGGTTAGAAAGAGGAGATTGAGTTTAGTAATGAATAGGGAATTGAGAATAGGGTGTTCGTTTTGAGAAATAGGGAGGGGATTAGTAATCCCTTGAGATTAATAAGGAGGAGGAAGGGGGATTGGTAAGGAGGAAGTAGAGATGGTATTAGAAAACTAATGAGGGGATTAGAATTTTTTTTATTTTTTATATATTGAGAATTTTTTTTAAATATAATATTTAATTTTTTATATTTTTTTATTTACTTTATTATTTTATATAAAAATAATTTAACAATTTTTCACTATCAATCTCATCACTAAATTTTCCCCTCCTATCTTTAAAAACAAACGGGGGCGTTGGAGTCCCACGTCAGTCCGCTCCCAGACAAACAAACAAACAAAAACCACCACAACAATAATAATAATAATAATAATAAAATCCAACGGTCATGAATGACTAGATCTCCAAGTTTCCTTTCTGTGTGCCCACTCCAAAATAGTCCCTCTCTCTGAACGCGCCGTCAAATACGTGACATCCGTTCGATCCACTTCACGACACGTGTCATGCATCAGTGGCACCTTCTATTATCACTCAAGTCAGCCTCTCATTGACACTTAGACAGAGTAGCAAAACACCTCACACCCCACTCTCTCTCTCACTCTCTCTCTCTAAAACCTCACTCACTCTCTCTCCATTCAGACAGACTGTCACTTTAGAGAGAGAAACACCATCTCTCTCTTTCTCTCTCTCTCTCCTCGCCGGAGCTCCGGCGGCACTCCGGCGGCAACAACAACAATGCTAATTGACTCAATCTGATCTCTCTCTCTCTCTAAAAATGTCAGTATACGACGCACCATTCGTGAACAGCGAGCTCTCAAAACCCACCTCAATCTTCGGACTCCGACTATGCGTAGTTATCGGAATCTTCGTCGGAGCAATCATCGTCCTCATCCTCTTCCTCCTCTCTCTCTGCCTCACCTCTCGCCGCCGCAAATCCCCCAACTTCTCCGCCGCCGGAGACCTCTCGCCTGTGGTCTCCAAGGAAATCCAGGAGATGGTCCACGATTCCGCACCCGATCACCGCCCAATCTTGGTTCCGGATATCCAAATCGACATGGGGAAGGTCGAGCACAGAGTCGTGTTCTCCGATAGGGTTTCGAGCGGTGAGAGCAGGGCGGCCGATACGGCGGCATATGGTGGCGGAGCAATGCCGGAGGTTTCGCATCTCGGGTGGGGACGGTGGTACACTTTGAGGGAGCTTGAAGATGCTACAAATGGATTGTCTGATGAGAATGTGATCGGTGAAGGTGGTTATGGAATTGTGTATTGTGGTGTTTTGGCTGATAATACTCGTGTGGCTGTCAAGAATTTGTTGAATAACAGGTATTGAATTTTTTGATTAATTCAATTCAATTTTTCAATTCAGAACTCTTGCTTTGTGTATGTATTTGTAATGTATATATGATTTTGATGCTATTTGATGGCTTATTTTTTATTTTTTGATTCTTTGCTTTTGATTCTTGTTCTGTAAAAGCTACTCCATTCTGAGGAAGGAAGGGAAAAAAGGAAAAAAAAAAAAAAAAAAAAAAAAAAAAGAAGGTTTACTTTTCTTTTGAAATTGGTCTGAATTGGTGATTAGAGGATTAGAATTTGTGCGAAAAGAGCTCTTTTTTTTTTTCTTTTAATAATGTTTCTGTTCGAATTAGATACATTCGAATCGGTGATTTTACGATTAGATTACAATATTTGGTCAAATTACAAAGCGGGTTGTGATTAGATTGTATAAGCTTTTCTTTCTATTTTGGTATGCACTTTTATCAGATTGCTTAAGATTGTGTTTTCATTTTCTGTTTTCTATTTTCATTTTCCACAGAACACAAAAAACTTGTTTAGCAAATTGTTTCCAAAAACAGTTTTTGAAAATAAAAAAGCTATGAAAACAACCCACTTTTTAATAAACACGAAAAAGTTGTTTCTAATTTTCCAAAACAGTTCTCTCACCAAAAATGGAAACAATGAAGGTTTTTGAAGTTTTACTCTCTTACATGCTTGAGCTCATGAGGGACATGGAATTATCAGGGGTCAGGCTGAGAAGGAGTTCAAAGTAGAGGTAGAAGCAATTGGGCGTGTAAGACACAAAAACCTTGTCAGGTTGTTGGGTTACTGCGTGGAGGGAGCTTACAGGTATCTTTAATTATCTTCCTATTTGAAAACAGGCCATGGTTTTCTTTCAGCTCGAAGAAGCTTGACAATGTTTCAATTTTGACTGTTTTTGTTGTTCAGAATGCTTGTATACGAGTACGTGGACAATGGGAATTTGGACCAGTGGCTTCATGGTGACGTAGGAGATGTTAGCCCATTAACTTGGGATATCCGTATGAATATCATATTGGGAACGGCAAAAGGGTATTGTATCTGAAATCTGAATGATGATCATGGATTGGTTCTCTATGTTCATTCTTTGTTTATTTTCGTATTCTTATTCTTGCAGATTGGCCTATCTCCATGAGGGTCTTGAACCAAAGGTTGTGCATCGAGATGTCAAATCTAGCAACATACTGCTTGATCGTCAATGGAATACTAAGTTGTCTGATTTTGGGCTTGCTAAGCTCTTGTGCTCTGAGAACAATTACGTAACAACTCGTGTGATGGGAACATTTGGGTTAGTTCATTTCCATGCTAAAATTTGTTCTTTGTTCATTTCACTAGAGTGTAATGCAAGCTTCTTGGCGTTGCAATGCGATTACTATTTTGCTATCTTGAATAGGAAAATAACTAATACCCTATAAATTGTATAGTTATGTTGCACCAGAATATGCTTGCACTGGTATGTTGAATGAGAAGAGTGACGTATATAGCTTTGGAATACTTATAATGGAGATAATTTCTGGGAGAAACCCTGTTGACTATAGTCGACCAAAGGGAGAGGTCGGTCTTGAAGTATGATATAGCCTCAATTTCTCTTCAGTCATGTTTTCCTCAATCGTATCTAACAATGTATAGTGAATAAACAATTACAGGTGAATTTGGTGGATTGGTTGAAAACAATGGTTGGAGATCGAAAATCCGAGGAAGTTGTGGATCCGAAATTGCCTGAGATGCCTGCTTCAAAAGCACTTAAGCGAATTCTGTTGGTTGCCCTTAGATGTGTTGATCCTGATGCTTCAAAAAGGCCCAAAATGGGACATGTGATCCACATGCTCGAGGCAGATGATTTGCTAGTTCGTGATGTATGCACCAATTCCTTCTTCCAAGAATTGTTTTGCAAACTTCAAAAACCAATTGATCACATTAACAACACTACACTTGCTGTTTGTTGTTTTCTTTGATTCACAGGAAAAACGAAGTGGCAGAGAGCCTTCACGTTCCCATCGTAATTATAAAGAAGAGAATCATGTTGATCCAAAAGTAGATGATAAGCAATTTGGTGAAGGTGTTCCTGATACAAGTGAAGGTGATGGCAGTAAGAGACATGACCAGACAAGTAGGTGGAGATAACCTTCAGGTTGGATTTTGGTACTAAACGTTCGAGTTTCTTCAAAAAAAATTCATGCTTATATATAGATTTTCTTTTCTTCCCATTTGTACCCTAGTTTTTTTGTTGTACCTTCAATTCCTAGTATATGACGATAATCTGCATTTGTTATATTTGTCTACACATTTGGCATGAATTTGTATATTTATATAGTATATTCATCAGTTTATAGGAATTATAATCCATTGATTTGATTATTCTTTGGTTATGAAACATTATTCGAAACAGAATTACATAAGACATGAATTCTTGGCTCTGCTTATATATTTCTTTTTAATTTTGTACTTTCTTTTTCAACCTTGAGTTTGGTTGTCTCCTTCTATGCTGATATTGAGGGTTTGGTTAGTTAGCATGTGTGGGTCACTGTCAGGATCACAGCTAGCTCCTTATCGGATAGATGGAGATAGAGATGTACATGGCAGTCCCACTGATCCAGAAGTACTCTGGAATTCATTGGCATCACTAGTAACTCCAATTTTTTTTATGGTTTTGTGGAGTCTAGAGTGGACCACTAGCCAGCTAATTTTGTTCAATCCACTAGCAGTGGGAGTGGGGAACCCCCCTCTCTCCCCACTCTTGCAGTTGTCACAGGATTTTGTCTCCTTTTCCAATTTAGTCTTAGCCACATAATTGTGTCTTGAGATTCCCATCACATTATATGATTAGGATTGTATTGGGACAAAGATAAGATGTAGAACGGGATGGGAATGGGTTTGTAGTGTATCGCTTTGAATCATATCAAGGGTGGGGAGAATTGGAGGTAATGGGGTTGGGGTAAGGACAAGACAATAGGAGACGGGTTAATTTAGCAACTTTAGAAATCACTGTTTTAATAAAAGTAAGAGATGATATATTGTGGATAATGATTAATAAGCGGTGATAATTAAAAGATATAAAATGAGAAATAAAAGAAGTGAAAATAAGTGATAAATGTAATAATTGAATGTTTTAGTGTTATTATAATTAAATTATATATACATATTAAGAAGATATATAATTTGAATGGGGAAAGTTGCCCCACTTCTGTATTGGGAGAAAAACCCGTGCACACACCACGTTGGCCAATAATCATGACAAAGCAGCCAGCCCAAAGCCACATTCCCATACAAGCCATTGGCATTGCAATGTTACTGGCCATTGCGATCAATCCACAAGCACATTCAACTAGTCCCTAGGCATGTCTCATACTGGTCAATAGCAGGATGAAGCAGGAAAAGTTGTTATTTCTAGTGCTGTGTTCGGATCATAGATTTGGGTAAAAATTTATCAAATTAAAAAAAAATGACAAACAGAAATTTACAAAATAAAAAGAAAATATGAAAAAAATATATATATATTTATATCTCCTTCCTTTCTTTTTTCTTTTTCTATTCAAAATCAATGATTTAAACGTAGATTAAATAGTATTTTGTTGGACCAACAAGCAGGGCAGGCATGTTCGAGTTTGGAAATGGGGTCAGGGAGGTTTCACTATCAATGGCCTGCCTGGTCATGATTTTGTCTAGGCCAAGCACTTGGTGTGACCCGACCAGTGTTTGATGCCAGCTGGCAGTGAATGTGTCCTATAAGTTCCCTTGTCCTTACAAGTTACAATCACTCTGTTAGGATTACATTTCTTATACTGACTTGGTCTAATTCTAATAATTTGTGCTCCTTTTAGTATCATATTTAACTTTTATTAGGAGTAATCCGCTTTTTAGGGTTACATTCGCGGGTTCTATCCGAGATTTATCCGCAACGTTTTGCATGAATTCCAGAATTAGTCGAGATGTGCGTAAGTTAATCCGGATACTTGGTAAAAAAAAAATAATGACAACTAGAGTCCTAATAATCCACCATCTATAATAATGTTAATGGTAGGAGGACAGATTCAAATAATGATATGTTCCGAAGATTGTTGTTTGAAAAGTTTTATTATCCTCAAATTAATAAGGAAACCTTGCCGAACTCAGTCGGATAGGGACTTCTCATCTATCAAGTGTACTCTTAGGTTGTATTTGGATCAATAATTTGAAAGAAAATTTAGAAAAAAATAAAAAATAAAAGAGAAGGGAAAAAGAAAAAATAAAAAAACCTCTATTTCATTTTATTTTTCTTTTAATAATTTTCTCTGCAAATGTTTGATCTAAGAATAAATAAGTTTTATTTAAAACTTTGTTGACATTCTTTCTTCATTGATGTGATTTTCCTCACCTGTTAAGAAAACATACGAAAATATGGAAAATTCTATAATGGCCCTTTTGGTGTACTATGGCTCTGTTTGGTAGAGTTGTGGGAAAGTGCTTATAACTTATGCCTTAACAGCCTATAGCTTATAACTATGAACATAAGCTGATTTCTGACTTATAAATTAAGCTTCTCCTGCCCCACTCAAAGAATAAGCTGATTTCTGACTTACAAAAAGCTATAAGCTGCATTGTTAAGCTAAACCAAACACATCAAAATAGCTTAAATTAAGCTGAAAGCTGAAATAAGCTGAAAAAAAGTTGTACCAAACAGGGCCACAGTATGTTCTACTTATGCTTTGTGGTTTTTTTAGTTATGGTCTATTGCCGTATTAGTTATAACTTGATTATGATTGTTAATGTGTATATTAGATTTAGATTTATACTTATCTCTTTATAATGTAGATATAGTTTATCTCTATTTCTCTCTATCTCTATCTCTATCTCTATCTCTATCTCCTTGTATCTCTATCTCTTTATCTCTATCTCCTTCTATATTTACCTAGGTTTGTTTTCAGCCTATAAATACAGATACACATTTTCTATATTTATTTCAACCATTCTAACATGGTATCAGAACTCTAGGTTATACACGTATAGCCTTTTTTTCTTTTCTCTTTGTGCTTAGTCTTGTACACAGTGGCACTACAACATTCATTCCATCACCCATACACTTTATTATCTCTGTTCTAGCATTGTTTCAGCGTTATTTTCACCCAAAATTTTTTCCCTTACCACAAAACTGATCGGAATCTCCTTACGATTCCAACGACACCAACCACATCGAAAGTTCTCCGCGTGCCCTTATGCGCCATTGTTGTGCTCAGCGCGTCTCAACCTTCCGCTGTCACTCTCTCATGCGCCCTTGCACGTTCTTCAGTTGCTTGTTCACGTCAACACCTGTTGTTAGCCCTATGCTCGCGTACGCCGTTCTTGCTGTTGTGCGCCGTGCGTGCGCCATTTTGCTATTGTGTGCCCGTGTGCGCTAATCCGCTATTGTGCGCCACATGCTCCTTTCTGCTATTATGCGCCACGTCTCCTTCTATTATCGTGCATCGCGCCTCCTGCTGACGTCATCTCTGCACAACAGATCCCTTCCACAACTATTTTCGACCTTCTGGACTCACTAGTACGCTCTGTTTTGCTAATTTTTGCTCTTGTAACACTGTTTTTCTCTATTTTACTTCACCAAACCATCGTTACGGATTGTCATGATGCTTCTCATCCAATCTATGTTATCCTTGACGACTTCAACTATGTGTTACGGGCCTAAGCCATGTCCGATTTTCTGAAAGAGAAGAAACTTTGGCGCATTATCATTGGGATGCGATATAACCAGTGAAAGAGGTTCATGAAACAACTGCCACATATGCAGACCGTTCAGAGGATTGGAACAATAAGAATTATTAGATCATCACTTGGCTTTAGAATACTTCTATTACCTCTATCAGTTTACAATTTGGTCATTTTCAACTTAACTCCGTGACTACTCCTGCCAAAGACATTTGGGATTTTTTGGCAGAACGTTATCAGACTACTGGTCTTGCTCATCAATATCAACTTCAAAGTCAACTTTATCGCCGCGTCAAGAACCTGGTCAGTTTGTTAATGATTTCCTCTCTTAGATATATTCTGTTTGGGACTAGCTCGTTCTCTCTGATGGGCCCGTTAAGTCTCTTATCACCCTACCAGATCCTCCTCCCACTGGTCGTCCACATCGGGTAACTTAACCACCTGTTCATCTTCGTGATTATATTGTCGAGTCTACTGCATTTTCTACTTATGAACCTACCTCCTATTGTGAGGCTTATACTAATCCTCTTTGGTAGCAAACTATGATTGATGAATTACAGGCTTTAGACAAAACTCATACCTGGAATGTTATTGATCTTCCTCCTAAAAAGACTATGATTGGCTGCAAATGGGTATACAAAATCAAGGCCTATTCTGATGGCTCTATTGAGCGCTACAAAGCCTGTCTTGTTGCAAAGGGCTTCACCCAGGAATATGACATTGATTATGAGGAGACTTTCGCTTCAGTTCTCGGCTTACCTCTGTGCGTAGCTTACTTGTTGTTGCCGATGCTCACCATTGGGATCTCTTTTAGATGGATGTCAAAAATACCTTCCTTAATGGTGATCTTCTTGAGGAAGTCTACATGCAACCTCTCTCTAGGTCTGCTTATCTGATTCATAAGGTTTGCAAACTACAGCGTGTTCTCTATGGTCTCAAGCAAGCCCCATGAGTTTGGTTTGCAAAATTCAGCTCCACCATCCATGACTTCGGTTTCACCTCCAGCTCATATGACTCTGCTCTATTTGTTCGGACCACTTCTTATGGCACCACTCTTCTTCTTCTTTATATGGATGATATGATTATCATCGGTAATGATGTGGCTGGTATTCTTAGCCTCAAACAATTTCTCAATCGTCAATTTGAGATGAAGGACCTTGGCACTCTTAATTATTTCTTAAGGCTTGAAATCTCTTATGATTCCACTGGTTATTATTTGTCACAAGCCAAATATGCATCCGATCTTCTAGCACGTGTTGGTCTTACCGATTGCAAGACTACATCTACTCCCGTTGATCCTCAAATTCGTCTCACTTCTCTAAACGGGGATCTTCTCTCTGATGCTACTTTTTATCGCCAGCTGGTCGATAGTCTTGTCTATCTCACTGTGACTCGTCTTAACATTGCATATGTTGTCCATCTTGTTAGTCAGTATATGTCAGCTCTCCCATATCCTGTATTACACTGCTTACTTCGCATACTTCGCTACCTCAAAGGCACTATGTTCCATGGACTCCATTACTCTGCTTACTCTTCTCTCAAGTTTCGTGCTTTTTCTAATACTGATTGAACTGGGGATCCTATTTATTGACGCTTCACCACGGGTTTCTGTTTCTTCTTAGGAGATTATTTTCTTACTTGGCACAACAAAAAACAGTCCCTCACTGTTTGCTCTAGTA